GGTTATGAGAAACCTTTAGATGTATTAAGAAGAACAAAACCTCAAAAATAAACCTAAAGGGCAGAGGAAGAAAGAGCCATTCTCAAATGCTAATCACATAAAAGCCTTCCAATCCTGAAGAATCATGGAAAGCAGGTAAGTACAAAATGATTTGCTGTTTGGCACCAATCTTAACTTGGACTGGTGTTTGAATTAGGGATGTTTTATCAGTGGTCCTTAGGAGGAGATGATTATTGGGAGGAACAAAAGGAAATTTAAGATACGAAGAGTTATTGGTAAGAGGTTCAAAAGGGACTCACATTAATGCTTCTCCCTTGTATTTCTTCTAATAAGTTTTTCAGTCATTTTCCTCCTGTTTTATTTTTTATTTTTACTATCAACAGTTGGAGCGCTTTTTTCTAAATCGTTTTGATGGTCCCTTTTTTGTTGGTTGGCCTTGTTCGCCTTTTCCGTTTTCCTTTTCTTTCCTTTATTATTATTATTATTATTATTGGGGATGTTCGGCTTCTACTTGTTCCTTCCCATTTATTAACGAAAGCCAGTTTCATATATATATATATATGTCGTGTTCGGTTACTTTTTCTGAAAAGTAATTATAATTACACTTTAGCTATCTAAAATCACTTGGATATTCAACTCACAACTGCTATCCCCAAACTTGAAGACAGCTCTACTCTAACTACGCCCCCCACCCGGACCCAAACCCAAACCCAAAAGAAAACTCTTCCTTGGGTCACTTTTGTTCTTAGCGAAATTCTGTCGTAGTTTGATTTATGACATGTTTTTCATTTATTTTCCAACAGAATTTGCCTGTCTTTAGATAATTTGAAAGTTATATCAGGTTGAAGATTTGCGTTCCTTTTGACTTCCATTGACCAGAAAACACTTCATCAATTTTTTTAATTTTATTTTATTTACTTATTATTTATTTCCTTGTGGTCATAAATACTTAAATCAATGCCGTTACATGTTGCTTGTCTTTTCAATTTTGAACAAACTTGGCTCGCTCTTTTTACTGCCCGACTTAGTCACTGGCCATTTTTTACAATTATTTCTTTTGGATTATTTTTTTATAGCACGATTTATTAAACTTGTTTTTATGCTTTCCTTTGATGATCATTCTTTTTCTATTCTTCTTCTGATTGTAACTATTTGGGGAACTGTGGATTTTTTTTTTTTTTTTTTTTTTGGTATTTCAGGCAATAATAATACTGTGAACGTATTTTTGGTTTCTGGTTTTTTTCCTTTTTTTTTTTCCCCCTTTTTTTCCTTCTTTCTTCCTTTGATTTCTTGTTTCATTTTTCTTATTTGAATCTTCAACTTCACTGTTTTGATGGGAGTATTTATTTGACAGGCCAGATTATTAGTTTGCGTTGTCTTATATCTTTTTAGATGCTTGGGAATCCATATTTGCGTTTGAGGTGCTGCTGAACTTGTGGATGAATGATCCTGTACTGTACTTTTGGGAGAGTTTATGTTAAGAGCTTCATTTGGGCTTTGATACCTTTTTCCCACAAACCCCTTTCGTCTCTTTTCACTTTTTTTTCCTTCTTTTTTTCCTTTTCTCCATTCCTCCCCACTTTTTAGTTGTTTTATGTAGTAAGAACCTGCTGCTGGGCAATAGTCATCTTACGTTTTATACTTCACCTTTGTCAATATTATCACTTTTAATATTTTTGAAGTTTTTTTTATACATATATTCTTTTTTTGTTGTAATTTCTTTTTCCTCGAGTATCACCTTCATTTTAATCTTCGGCTTCTGAGTTATAACCTTCCGCCCTATTAATAATAAATGGAAGTCCCTTTTTGTGTCCTGTTGGAGTTAATCAAGTGTTGTTGGAGGCTGCCAAGGATTATTCAGTTCCTTTTAGAGCATGGGTTCAATCTTTAGGAATAACCAAATCTTCTAAGCGAATCCAGCAGTGGTAGGATGATGATTAGTGTTATTTGATTAAGTGTGAAACTATTCTTCGGTCCTATTTAATCTGCTAATTTTTTAGGTTGTGAATATATATAATGCTCTTCTGTTACCGGTTCAGAATTTGCAGTGGAAGAACTTTTGTGATGCAGGTTTATTTCCTTGCTTTGCTTTGCTTTCCTTTCCTTTGGTAGCTGCTCTGCTTCATCGCCTTCATACTCATCATCAGTCTTTGCTCTTCCTTGTTTTCTTCATTTTCATTTTCTTCCTCGTTCGCTGCCCTCGTCGTCGTTGCCCTTCTCCATTTTTTCATACAATTCTCGAGGTCGTGACTAAAATGAACCTCAAATTCTTCATTTTTCATATCCCTGGTTATCAATTGGCTTGGTTTGATTCTCCAAGTTTTTCAGTTGGTAACTCTGAAGGTCGTGCAGAAGGCTGATGATGGGTAGAGCAGAATGAGACAGTTAAGGTATGGACATGTATGTATGTATATGTATGTATATGTATATATGTATATATGCATTCATTCAAACTAAGCTTCAGCTGTTGGCGTCACTGCATCCATCTGTGCAGAACAGATAGTCTTGAAGCATTTCTGTGGCTTGTTTCTGTTGATTTTAATGAACTTTACATGCACAATAAATCAAGCATACCATCAAAATAAGTGCTTGTTTAGTTTTAAAAATATTAAGGTGTGGTTAGAAAAGAAAAAAAGAAGTGAAAAATAAGGAATTTAGAGGGGGTATGGTATAAGACGTGAATTCACATTATATTTGACATTCAGAAGAGTAAATTATTTTTTTTCCTAAATTTCAAATTTTTATTTTTATAATTCTGATCATTATTATTATTATTATTATTATTAGTATTTGTGATTTGTTTTGTGATTATGGGCTTCCTGGGCTTCCTGATGAGGGCAAATACCCATTCGGGCCTCAGGCAGGCCCAACGAATGAGTACCTGTGGCGTAAAAGGCATAGCTGAAAATTAATCAGATAGAACGACATGTCGGAAGGCATCTTCTTTTAGAAGTACATTTTTGGTCTTTTCTATACAGAGTTGTTGTATGACCCATTTTTTTCCCTAAATATTGTAACGAATTTTTGTTATATTATTCTTTTTTTTTTTTTCTTTTATTAGAAATGTTATGAAAAAATTTGAAGTGTATTATCATATTAATTGGATGGTGACATTTTTTTTTATTGGGTGGAAAACAAGTGAATGAGATAGAAGAATATATTCACTTTCATAAAGGGATAATTACACATGAAAATTCCTATTCCACAAATGTCAAAATTCTTTAAAATTACATTTCTGTTGTTAATAATATGTATAAAGTCTATGAAAGTAAATATATTAAAATTAATTCTTTGTAATAAAAACATTAAAATCATTGGTGAAACAAAATCCAATTAAAACATAACATTTAATTAGGTAAAGTTTTTAGTTGTCAATGGTTGGTTGAGGATGTTGCTATTGACGTTAAATCATCATGCGCTATAATAATGGTTGGGATAAAGGGTTGTAATCCTGCCTCTGCATGAAGTTGGAATCGCTAGTAATCGTAACGATGGTGAATTCGATCCCAGACCTTATACACACGGTGTGTATGAGGAGCACTTTAGTTGCTCGAGGAGCACTTTAGTTGCTCTCGGGAAATGTAAAACATATATACCCTCTTTTAGCAGGGAGAGATTGAGATTTGTGTAAAGTATAATTTAATGGAGGAAGGAAATATTTGAATGAAAATTGCAAAAACAAAAGGGCTTGAAAAGGATTGAATTGATATATATATGCCCAAATTCTCCCCAATCCCTCTCTCCATCATCAACTTTCCTTGGAATTTGGCTCACCTCAGCGGAACCCAAATTTCCTTAAATGGAAATCAATACTTCCCCTCTCAAATCCGAATACTACCCGACCAACGCAACCAATTTTCTTTTCAATACAAAAATAAATTCAATTCACATTAAATATTAATTTAAGATTCTAATCTTCTATTAAAACTCTATATATTTTTTTAAATAATTGGATAAAATGGTAAAATTAATAATAAAATATTAATCTTTAATGCTGATAAAAAATAAGCCTCGTATTTCTTTCCAGATTTTTAAATGGCAACAATAACTTTTTATAAATATAAATTTATTACATGAAATACCAATATTTTAATTATAATTAATTAGTTAATTAGACTTACTTTTAACTTAAGTCTATTTTAATAATTATGACTGATTATGAGACTAATTTTGATTAGTCTAGTTGATTAATATATCCTAAAATCATAATTAATTGATTTAAATTATTAAAGTGGTAAGTAATACAAAAAGAATTATAATTAATTAAACATTTATTGTAATCATTCTTTTATACATGTTATATAATTTTTTTTATTGTTTTATTAATAAATTTATTATAATTATATAAAATTCTAAATAATTTACTCCGGGTTTTTAATTTTGAATTTGAAAATATAAGTTATTTATAATTAAATATTTACATAAAAAAAAATCTAAAATTTGAAATAGGTGAATGAAAATTAAATTCGATAAAATATTTTAATAACTCGACTAAATAAAAACGAAATAAGTAATATAATTAATTTTTAAAAGTACCCAAAAACCCAAATATAAAATATGAAATTTCAATAGCGTTTAATTATTTGATTCTCAAATACCATATTTCAAGCATCTTATTCTCTGACATCTGTTACTTTTTGTAAGTTAAAATTCTTACTGGTTAATCGATCTTAAACTTCAAATATAACATTAAATTAGTTTAATTTTATTATTATTTATATAATGCGTTTTATTAGTTTTTTATTTAATGAATTAATGGAAATTTCAATTCACCATTTATATATTATATTGATATCAAACAATAAAGCGAAAATGTCATGAAAATTTAGCCTTTTCGATATCATTATAATATTTAGGTTGGATGACTTATTTCCCAATTCATATAATTTTTTTAATAATAAATTAAAAATAAGAAAAGTGACCAATAAATTTGGTAATTAAAATGGAACTTTCCATAATAATCCATGGCAAAAGTGTCCTTTTCCACTTTTATTTAATCAAATTCCTTTTCTAATTAAACCACAAAAATAATTTATTTAAAATAAAGAAAATAATACGATCTCTCCTTCAAAATGTTCAAAAAAAACTCATTATCAGACTTAAAAATCAACTTGAAAATGGAAACGGTCAAATTAGACTAAACCAATCTAATTAGGGTCAGACTAGATGGTTGAATTGGAGTAGACCTATTCGAATCGAATCGAACAAACCAGCCCAACTAAACCGGTCATCTCTTTCTCCTACCTCATGAAACCAGTCCAACGAAATAGTTTCTTCAACAAAAAATCTGACATGTTATTTACATATTCTCAATCGTGGAAGTGACAATCTAAAACTTGTCGGTGAATTAAACGGATATACAACCACAAAAGAAAAGAAAAAAATAAACTCGATACTAACCTCGTTCTTTCCGACGAGCGATTACCAGCATCAGAGCTACTATAAATTTTTTTTTTTCAATTTCTAGATATTACATAATTCTATGACTAACCCATAAATTCGAATTTAAACATCGTACCTCGAACGAAACTCAATAATTCATAAAGGAAACAAAGCACTTTTTGGTGATATCTATTTAGAATAGATAAGAAAATCTTAACAAAGATTCAAAGTGATTCTATTTAACTTAGATTATGAATATTTGAAACCAAAAAGGCTGACAACTCCAAATTCCTTTTTTTTTTCTTTTAATACAAAAATAATTATATTTTTAATACAAAAGAAATGAAAAATAATAATAATAATAATTAATTTACAACTATGCCCAGTTTATCAAAATTATCCGTACACTACACACATTCTTTCTTGTTTTTTTGTTCTTTTTTTATAAATATTTTGTTACATTTTTTTTTAACTTTCAAATATATTATGCTACATGAATTATTACCTTAGTTATTAAGATAAATTCTCTATTAAATAATTAATAATAGATTTTAATTCATTTTCAAATCTAATAATCAATCGCAATTAATTCAATAATAACATAGTTTAATTGACTCAATAATTCAAATAATTTCGACTATCTAATCTAAATCATAAATAAAGGTTAGGTTGGGTCAATTCTTTTTCAATTTGAGTAAGACTCGGAGTTGACATTTTTTTGTTGGGTCAATTCAACCAACTCGAAAATATAGTTATAATCCAACTCAACAGAACATTAAGAATATTCCACACTTCTTAATGTTTAATATTTGAATTTTATGAAATTTTGATTATTAACTTAGGATGCATTCAATAATAAGTAGGATTTTCTTTAAATAATTTTTAAAAAAAAACGTCTTACACCCCAATGCAACTTGAGTTGTGAACTCTATTTTAGTTGCTCGAGTCATCAATTCAATTAACCTGAAATATCGAGTTAGTCCAAAAAAAAATTCAATCCAACCCATGTACATCTTTTTATTCGACTATATAATAGCATTTTAAAATATGGTTGTTACTTTATTAAAAATATATATATTATGCATTAAAAATTTGGTAGCTTTTCAATTGATTAAAAAAAATGGAACAATAATAGTCACCTATGTTGTAATTTATAATTATATAATTCAAATTATTGAAAATATAAAGAAGCCCATTTTTTTGATGTCCTAACTATGCACATTTTTTATAAAAAAAATAAAAAATAAAAAGAACAATGATGTCATCCTACACATCATCACATTATATAACTGTAAACTATATTATATTATTCATAGTAACAACTTAATAT